ATAGAGACTATAGACACGTAAACATCTACCGTAATATTTATATTGTATATTTATTTTTTGGTAAACTATATGTTTAGTACATAAATTATTAATTTTGATCCTTTGAAGTACCTAAATTTTCGTTTTTTCAAAATAATATCTAATGTTTAGTTTATGTTTCATTTTAGTATCCTATCGCTAAAAACTTAACAGACGGACTCGTCGATTGCAGTGTCTACAGTCATCAGTCGTTACATGCATCGGCCAATGAAGCCCAAAATTTTTAACTCATACCATTTCAACTCCATTAACATGATTTTGACCTCCGTTTCACCAAGAAACGTCTCAATCTCCCTAAATGAACGATGAAATCCCAATTTTTTCATCCTATAAAAAGCCAGGTCCATCGTACCAAGTCCATCGTACGATGGACCTCTCATGGTCCATCATTTGAATTGGTCGTCTGTCCACCACTGTGCGTTAAATTTTTAACAACATATACTAAAATGAAATAAAAACTAAATGTTAGGTATGATTTTTAAAAAATAAAAGTTTAGATACTAAATAGACTAAGAGTAATAGTGTAAGTGCTGAGCATATAATTTATCCTTTAATTTTACTAGACTGGATATATCATTTTTGTCTGTTCTTTCCCAGCTTTGTGGCAGAAGATATTGTCTGCCATTGTTCTGCGAAGCCCAAGGAAGAAAACGTTTTATCCTATTGCAAAAATATATAATTTACATGTATAATATATATGTGTGTATATATATATATATTAAGCCCCTTGAATGGAAGTTCAAATGGTTTCTGCCAATGCACGTAACATGTTCGACCTTTGGTCAAGTTGAAGCCAGAAAGTGAAGATGTCTGCAAAGTTGATGAATTCAGATGGAAACCCAGATTTGCAGAAGTAATTTGGGTGCATTAATGGACTGTTTCACCATTTTCTTTGCAGCCCACGCGTTGCCACTTCGAACCACAAAGGCTTTCTACTGGGTAATTTAGCTCTCTGCAATTACTTGCCATTTTGTTCTGAAAACAAGTTTTGGCTTTGCTTATAACATTGTAGAATGTAGACTAAACCATCTTTGATTGTTTGAATTCTTGTATAATTTAATTTTTTTAATATATATATATATATATTTTGTTGATAATTTATTTCCATCCCGAAGTTTTATAAATTCGTCACCTATTAAATTTTTTTTAAGTTTGTCCTTTAACATAAATCTTACATCCTCCCTGATTTCAATAGTTTATTTCTATTTGCTATACTTTTTCTACGTAAAATTGTAAATTTCATCCCAAACGTGGAAAAGTTTGTCCAATTAATATGTAGAGAATTAGTAAACATTAGCAGTTTAGTCATTTATATGCAACAGATTAGTGAAAGTTAATTGTTTGAGTTCATGAGTTTGTTTTAATTTCGTAATTTTATTATATTATGAGGGTTAAATTCTGTCAAATTAGAGGACTAACTCGTCGGTTTTGGTAAGTGAGGGGATGAAATTCATCATTAGACTTATTTTTTCCATGGCTGACATTCATTGTTCGTCTAGGTTCAATTGGGAAGCATGGAAATAATCTCAAAACAGCTGTGAAAGAGAAACAAATGTTGTCCTTCGAATCACCCCGAACTTCCTTTTCGTCGTCCACTTGTTCGTCAAATTACTCATCTGCTGACTGCACCAAACCATCTCGAGCTGATCGACATCGATCACCGGATTTCGTGAAATCCCGGAGCAGGGGATATCCAATGATCAATCACTGGTTTCTTTTCAGTCAAGCAAACATTCTGTTGAGCTTAGAAATGTGGTTAAAGACTGCGTCTACAGAGAATCCAGCGGCTTATCGGTTAAAACTAGAACGAAAGTGGATGCAGGGCAGCACCAGATCTTGAGGTACATAGATTCACCGAGGCCCTTGCAGTCACTAAAGCCTGCAATGGCAAGGAACATCAGTCTCAATAAATTAAGTCATGATTTTTCCAAGCTTCGAGAAGTGCATAGAACGGCCGATGGATGCAAGGATGGTTCACTTGCTTTCATGCCAAGGGATGCTCATCGGTTCTCTTACGATGAGAGGAGATCACACAACGGGGTTAAAGTTAAGCTCAAGGATCAGCCAAGGTTGTCACTCGATAGTAGGCAAATCTCCATCAAAGTTTCAACCAACGATGCGAAGTCGAAGTTTCTTCTAGGAGAGCTGAACACAAGAAGCCAACAACAAGAACCTGGAAGCCGCAAAGGACCATCTAGTGTTGTAACCAAGTTGATCGGGTTGAAAACATTGCCAGACCCTATGCAAATCCATGGGAATCAACGTTTTCGGATCAAGACTAGTCAGTATCCAATGATGATCCCGCTTCACTCTCATCGAGATTCGATGAGAATAAGAGAAATCAAGTTTCTTGTTCTCCAAGAAATTCAAAGAAGGAATCCATCTCGCCTCATTCGATAAATGCAGACTCAAAGAAACCTGTTGCAACTATATGTCCCAATGAACCGGACCCTTGGAAGCATATAGATGGAAGCAGAGATCAAACATCGACTTTGAAGTGCAGTCGAGAAACTCCACGTATAACCCAAAACGCCTCTCTAACTGTTTATGGTGAAATCGAGAAAAGGTTGGCCGAACTTGAGTTCCAAAAGTCAGGAAAGGATCTCTGAGCACTTAAGCAAATACTTGAAGCAATGCAGAAGTCCAAACAGATGATAGAGACTAGAAAAGACGATCCCGCTTCAAATTTTGCATCTCACACAAACAGCTTCCTTGGTCGGAGCTCAGAAGCACCAAATTTGAGAGAGGTACAACACAGCAATACAACTTCTGCCATAGTTAAGGGAACTAGTTCTCCAACACACCTTAAATCCCCAGTAAAGGTTATAAAACCAGCAAAATGCATGGATAATGCCAGCAATTCTAGTTCATTAGCAGTTGGAGCAGGTAGTTTAAGCAGAATTCGTACCGGTAGTAGCCCTGCAAATGCCGGAAATGAAAAGGTTGACTAGTGTCCTTGTAAGGAATTAACTCTAAGACCTAATTCTCCCAAGGATCCTTCCAGCCGCCTCCAATCGAGGGATAAGATGACTTCCAGAACTTCAAGATTCAACCAAACTTCAAAAGAGCTTCCACCTATTGCTCAGCAAAACCCAAAGTTGGCAACGAGCTCGGAGACTGCATGCCTAGAACTGCAGAAGAAGAAACTTGAATCAGAAAATCAACCTCATCGCACTTGTCCAACATCAGATCAGAGCATTAACAGAAGGCAATCAAGCAGACTACAAACAGAACCAGGCTTGACACACTGGAAGTCCAGGCACAAACCCCACAATTTGCAAGGATATGCTAATACGAGTGCTGCCACTTATGACATTGAAGCCACAAGAACGGATAGATCTTATAAGATGGGGACACCAGTCTCCCAAAAACAGGAAAAGAATCATAAAGTAAGCGTTCTTCCTTCCTTCCATTCATATAATAGTTTGATCATCTTTTAATCAGCTTACATTTCTATGAACTCAGATTGAAACAACAGAACCTCCAAGTACAGTCATGGAACAACCTAGTCTTGTCTCCGTTCTAGATGCCACATTCAATGGAGACGAATCTCCGTCTCCCGTGAAGAAAAAATCAAATGCCTTTAAAGGTGACCACTCTTATATCCTTCATACACGTACTTGTATTTGACACCCTCGAGTCTGTCAAACACAGCGCTTGGACAGTTTATAGATTGAATTCTTTTCATTCTGTCATCACAGATTATGGGGGTCTTATTGCTGATGAATCAGATCTGAATAACAAACAGCTTATCTTGAAGGCAGTTAACGAAATTCTTACAAGAATGAACGAAAACTCGTGCAAACCATGGGTCTCCCCAAGTATGCAGGAGGAAAGAAAATCAAAGAGACTGCAGGCGGTGGGCGATATATGTTCGGAAACAGATAAACGAAACTCCTTCAATTATAAGCTTGGATGATACAGCTGACAGTCTGCAAAGCATCATATTGAGATATTTGACGATTGGATCGATGAGCTGGACCAATTGCAAGAGAGAAATTCCAGGGGTTATATTAGATGTGGAGCGGCTGATCTTCAAGGACTTGATAGGTGAAGTTATCAGGGGTGAAGCAGAACATCCTCAAGGGTAGCACTGTTTGTGAAGTATGATATCTTATAATATCTCAATAAAGAGGGTTGTATCCTTCTTTATTTCCCTCTTTAACTTCTTTAGGGTTATAGTTTCAAATGAAGCTTGGATGAAGCTTCCCTTGATCATACCATGTAAAGTAAAAAGCTTGTGAAATACATGTAAATTGCAATCTTATACATACGTTATATGCGTACAACTAAATATCGTTGTATCACAAAACTTATGAACTGGACAAATAAATATATGATACAAGTAGGGTTGTAAATGAACCAAGCATGAAAGAACAAAGCTGTATTTGTGTTCATTTGTTTATTTTTAAAGGTGTACATGTTCGATTGGTATTTATTTAAATTTTCAGTATTATGTTCATGTTCATTTATTTATTTTTGGAGGTGTTCGTGTTCGTTCGTTTAGCGTTCGCGAACATATTCATTTAACGTTCACAAACATATTTATTTAACTCACTTTTAATATTTGGCAATCAGAAAAAAAATGATGAAATTATGTTACTAATCCTTAGTTTCCTTAGACTTTACGCTTAGAACTCTAAAATTCACCTTATGTTCAATTTAACCCCTATATCATCAATATTTAAAATATAAAATAAAAGAAAAAAGAGAACCGAGTAAACGAGCTTATAATCGAGTCGATAAATAAATTTATAAACGAATCAATAAATGAGTTTATAAAAAAGTTACAAATGAACTAATAAACGACTCAGTTTATAAACGTAAATAAATCAATCACACTACTATTCATTTTTATTTATTTATAAATGAACGTAAACCAACGGTTTCCAAATCATCGAGAACTGTTCATTTTATTCATTAGATTGGGCTGATTTTTAAACTCTGAGTTGCGGATAACGTGAGAGGGGAAGAAACCAGAAAAAGAAGCAGAGAGAAACCAATGCTCCAAAGCTTTAGCTGCGTAAAACCCTCTCCAAACCCCATAACCAAATTCATATCTGATCACCCGTATCTTTCTCTACTCGAAACAAAATGCACCAACATGAAAGACCTCAAAAAAATCCATGCCCAACTCATCAAAACCGGCCTTGTAAAAGACATCATAGCAGCTAGCCGTGTCCTGGCCTTCTCAGCTTCTCCCGCAGGAGACATCAACTACGCTTCTTCTTTCTTCGCTCGTATCGAACACCCAAATCTATTTGCTTGGAACACCGTCATTAGAGCCTTCTCTCGAAGCTCAAACCCAGAAATCGCCATCTCTCTTTTCATTCACATGTTGGTTCATTCGTCTGTTGAACCGGAAAGGCTAACGTATCCTTCGGTGTTCAAGGCTTACGCTCAACTTGGCCTAGCCTGTTACGGGAGACAGCTTCATGGGAGAGTTATAAAACAGGGTCTCAACCGTGACCGGTTTATCCAAAACACAATTATTTACATGTATGCGAATTGTGGGTTTTTGAGTGAAGCTTGGTTGATGTTTGACGAAGAGATGGAACTCGACGTTGTTGCGTGGAATTCAATGGTTATAGGGCTAGCCAAATGTGGAGAGATCGATGAGGCCCGGAAACTGTTCGATAAAATGCCGACGAGGAACACGGTGTCGTGGAATTCGATGATTAGCGGTTACGTTAGGAACGGTAAATTTTCGGAAGCGTTGGAGTTGTTTCGAGAGATGCAGGGCGAGAAGATTCGGCCTAGCGAGTTTACAATGGTTAGCTTGTTGAATGCGTCTGCTTGCTTGGGAGCAATAACACAAGGGAAATGGATTCATGATTATATACTAAACCAGAACTTCGAGTTGAACCCGATTCTCGTTACTGCAATTATAGACATGTATTGCAAGTGCGGCGATGTTGAAATGGCTGTACGAGTCTTTCAAACGTCTCCCGAAGGCGGATTGTCGTGCTGGAATGCCATGATCTTAGGCCTAGCTACCAACGGATGTGAACGAGAAGCAATTCTATTGTTTTCGGAGCTAGGGTCTTCGAGTCTCGAACCCGACTATGTCAGCTTCATCGGTGTTCTAATGGCTTGTAATCATGCAGGAATGGTGGATAAAGCAAGACAATACTTCTCATCGATGACGGAGAAATACAAAATCGAACCTTCCATTAAGCACTATAGTTGTATGGTCGATGTATTAGGTAACGCCGGGTTCCTCGAAGAGGCGGAACAACTGATAACAAGTATGCCTATTGATGGAGACGTTATTATATGGGGGTCATTGCTCTCGGCTTGTCGGAAGCATGGGAATGTCGAGATGGCGAAAAGGGCAGCAAAGCATGTTACTGAACTTGATCCGGACGAAAGCTCCGGATATGTACTTATGTCTAATGTATATGCTGCAAATAGGCAATTCGAGGAAGCCAATGAGCAGAGGCTTTTGATAAAAGAGAAGCAATTAGAGAAAGAACCGGGGTGTAGTCTGATTGAAGTTAATGGTGAAGTTCATGAGTTTGTTTCTGGTGGAAGGCTTCACCCTCAAGCAAAGGAGATTTACTCTGTTTTGAATGAGTTGAAACTCGTTTTAAAATACGATGGATCACGGTAACATGTGTTCGGCATATATCGAGTCCTACATGGATATGATTGCGGTTGTTTTTAATTTTTTTCATATATTTAAAAGATCCGACTTAGTTTTGAATACATTGTTCGAAGTCCGAACATGAAGAGCCGAGGGTAACATACTACTACCGTATGAGGCTGTGAAGATACTGCAATAAGAGAATGAGGATTATTTGGACATAGTTCGTCCCGGTGCCCAAGAGTACATATCAGGTGTAGTGCCACTGGTGATCAAGTTTTGTGGCATCCCATACAAATCAGAAATGTCAAGCTGATGGTGCGGACCATTGTGATGGTTGTATCGGTTCTGCATTGCGGCTGCTACTTCATCTTCATCCAGTGGTAGACGATCAAAGGTGGCCTTCATGAAGGATTCGGCCATGATGAGAACGGGACCGGAAGCAATGATTGCACCAACTACTACTACACCAGCAACCTGTCCCTGAGTACCGGCCAGGTAAATTGTTAGCCCCGTAATCCCGGGTGGGGCTGGAGGTGGCAGGATCGATCCAAGCAAGGAGAGGATCTCATACTGGCCGTGAAGGGTAACAATCACGCCCGATGAAGCCGGTTGTCTAAGTGTAACATTGGTCACACACCCGCTCCCGCTAAGCACACAAATGCCACGCTGCTTTTTCCTTGCAAAGTTAGCTAGACTCTCATTCACATCACAACCCAAGCTCACCTCCATCGCATGAGCTCTTATCGCATTAGCATTGTCACGAGTGACGAAAATGGGCGGTTTCGGTTTGTTTTTGGAGCCCGCTGGTCTCCCCCGAGGCCGCTTAATGTTCTTACCACCAGCTGCAGTACTGATCGGTTTCACCACCTTTGGCATTCTCTGAGCCATTAGTATTTCATCAATGGCCGGTACACGGAAATTCCCCTTGTCTTGTTCTTGATTATGATCCATGAGCACTCTTGAATCAGCGGCTTCTCCTGGTCAAGCACACACGGAATTCGGAATCGAATAGCAATTTTGCAGAAGCTGGTTCGGCACGTCGGTTTTAGTATTTGGTTTCAATCATTAATTTTATCATTTATTATGAGATGGTTAAGTGATACCAACCTTGTATCCATGTACATGTACTTTTATCCTACTGCCAACCTGCAACTGACCCTTCCATCATGTTAACTGCCTTTCTCGACAACTACTGCTTTTCTTCTCTCTTTCTTTCAGTTCAAATTCTTTGAAAAAATCTATCTCCTTAAATTTCAATTAAATCTTAATCGAAATTAATTATTAAAATCTTTTTACTCCATCACTGACCAGCTTAAAATCAAATTAGATTAATTTTTTGGCCAAATGAATCCTTATTATTGTTAAGATCAATCGGCGATCGCTTTGTTCGTTAGAAATTAATACCAAATGAATGCAAATTTAGAATATTAGAATAATTTTTAAAATAAAATTTTAACGTTTCATGTGAGTATTTCTTAATAGTAGCTAATAATAATGACCATAGTAAAAGGAAGTTAAAAATTTAATGATTGTAATGTAAGATTTAAAACTATGGTAATGAAAGTGAAAGAGGGTTAAAAGTTTAGTGACGTTTTGTAATTTATCCTTCATTTCGTTCATCGGAAATATAGTAAGAACTCAAAATAAAAGTAAAAATCCAGGCGGCTACTGCTGACGGAGTTGACCGCCAGCGAAAATTCATCTCTCCCCTTGCGAAGATTTCGAAGCTGCTCTCCCATAACAAATCTCCTTATTAGATATTTCATTGTTCCTCGTCTGCTAATATTAGTCTATTCTAATTATTACTTGCTTTGGATACTCCAATTCCAGCAAATCCATTTCGATTTCTTTTTATGCTTCTAACGAACCCTAATTATTCGTTCCGTTTCAATTTGTCTTAGTTTAGAATACCGACGATTGATTTAAATGTTTTAATGTTATTTGAAACAGGAAAAATGAAAGAAAGAAAGATGGGCTTGGAGCAAGCTATTAAAAGTCTGGATGCATTTCCTCGTACGGAGGAACATTTGTTGCAGAAGACGCAATCGGGAGCGCTAGGTGAATTTTCAATTTTTAGTTTATATTCAACTAAAAAAATGATGCTATTTATTCATTTGAACCGCTACTAATTGGTTTTTTGTTTCAATGGTAAAATTCATTGTTATAGTTTCCATCGTTGGTTTAGTGATAATGGCCACGCTGTTCTTTCATGAGCTTACCTATTATCTTCCAACGAATACTGTTCATCAGGTTTGCATTTCTTTTTGTAGTTTTAATTTTGAATGCTACCTATGTTTATGTGGTTTAATTTGTTTGGATGGAGTAATGGCGTTGCCCTTTTGTGAATTTCTTAGAATGTTGTTGAACCAACTTGGATTCAAATGTTTACATTTTGATTTTGTGGTTGTTAGCTTATTTATTTCCAAAGGTTTTCATAGAGGGTGATCGCACTGAGAACAAGTTTGAACAAACTTATCCACTGCCTTAAACATGCTTGTATGGTATTGTGTCCAATTCTTTTGGCAGTTTATTGGGTAGTCTGTTGTCTAGGTTTCTAATTCAACACAATGAATGCTTTAATCCTTTGCTTTTGTTTTTATGCAATAATCTTCTGCAATCGCATCTATATGTTCCCCTAAACTACTTAATTTACTGACCTGCCAGATATGAGTCAAGCTAAGGTCAATTTACAACAATTCCAACATCTTTTGCATACAATTATCATGTATAAGATTTTAACTAATACTTTTAACTCAGCAACCACTTATTTGAATGTTATTTAAAAACCGTGAATCCTTTTGATGTTCTACAACGTTAATTCTCCAAGCCTAACTTACCTCAAGTGCCATTAAGGCAGCATTTCTGGGAACTTTTACTATAAGCACCCAAGCTCTGTAACAAAGTTATTTACCCTTGGATCTTTCTGTCTGATTTGTAACCCATTGAGGGAATTTTGTAACCGGATATGATGCCATTAGTAGTTTGAGATCATTTAAGGTTAGGTGAATTGATCTAACTGCTCAGGTATTTGGCAGATGTCTGTGGACTTGAAACGTGGAGAAACACTTCCAATTCACATTAATATGACATTTCCTTCATTACCTTGTGATGGTTAGAACATCTCTTTATTATGAAAATTTCCTTCTACTTGTAAATTCTGATAACCTCATTTAGAATTTGACCGTTGGCTGTTTAATTATGTTATTTTGCAGTATTAAGTGTAGATGCCATTGACATGTCAGGCAAGCACGAGGTGGATCTTGATACTAACATATGGAAAGTAAGACAAATTTTTGTTTAAGACTTTATTGTTTTATCAATCATTGTACTAACGAATGAGACATTCTCTTAAGAGGTCCTCCTTTTTATCGTTTAGAAATGGATGTGGGATTTATGGTAAGATTTCCATGTTTGTTATATGGCTAACAAGGTTAAATCTTCTGCAGCTTCGCCTGAATAGTCATGGCCATATCATTGGCACTGAATATTTGTCTGACCTTGTGGAAAAGGAGCATGCTGCTCACAAGCATGGTTTGTGCTCTACCTCAGGGTTTTAATTTTTCTTTTTGGGAGATTTTTCCATGTTCACATGTGTGGTTATGTTATCTGGACATTATTATATTTATCAAGGACACAACATCATTTGCACAATGCACAATGTTGCTGATGGTCAATTACTTTGCCTTTTCTCTCTTTCCCATATTTTAGGGTTGGGTGGGGTGAGTAAGCAAAAAACAGTAGAACTCTCATAAAGATTACATGAAATGCTAAAATACCCCACTTTTCTCCTTCGAAAAAAGATACGAGTCACTTTGAAAATGAGTTATAAGCATTGTACTTTAACTACTTCTCCGAGTTCTAGATTATTTATCATTAACTTTTTTTTTTAAAATGACCAAATTGTTCAGCGGATTTTATTTAGATAAATCTGAGAGTTTACTTGTTTCTTCTGGGATGCATTAAAGCAGAAATATGTTTATATTAGTTTTTTACAACTTTGTTTAGGTCATTTATGGTTCATGTGAGGTATATGTAGAGATGAAAATGGTTGTAATCTGATATTTTAAGGCTTAAATAATTAATTTCTTGTAGCAAATATGATCAGGTGATGAGAAGGAACATCATGATGATGCTGAGAAAAAGCTTCATGCACTTGGCTTTGATCAAGATGCTGAAAATATGATCAAGAAGGTGAAGCAAGCATTGGACAATGGGGAAGGCTGCCGGGTATTTATCCATATTTTACTTTTGGGGCCCCCAAAGGGTCGAAAATGGAAGATTATAAAATCTACTGATCTATAAATGTTACATTTTGTGCAGGTTTATGGGGTATTAGATGTCCAAAGGGTGGCAGGAAACTTTCACATTTCAATTCATGGGTTAAACATTTATGTTGCTCAAATGGTTATTAACCTCTTAACAATCTAACCCTCAAACTTTCATGGTCAAATGCATGACTGTCAATCAAAACCTCAAAACTCTTTGATTTATTTCAAAATTTGTTTCTACTGTAGGTTATGATCTCAAGTATTGGTTTTTCCAAACCATTGTCTTCGTTATTATTAGGCAATATAAGTGCTTTTGGTATTCAGCTAGCATTTTATTTTATTTTATTCCTTCAGTTTATAATGTTCTGCTTGTGTGAATTAGAATTTGCTTGTGATTTCTGAATATGCTCATGTGCCAACTTCATCGGTTAACTTTTAATAAAAATTCCAGTAGCGGAAGGAAAAAGAACGTGAATGACTTTAATTAGAAATTTTGATATCATCTTTCAAATTTAAGTACCTCATTCTGATCTTAAGACCTGTCGGAGCTTGAAGAGAAAGCCTAGGTCTTCGGATTTAGCCTAAGATTTGAAACTTTGTCTAGAGTGAAGAATTTAAAATTCTGAAACTAGTTTGCAAGAATGTGCCAGGTTTGTATATACAATATTTTCTCTATTAGTTGCTTGGCACTTTCAGTGTTGAGGATATCTAGAATATTATCATTTTCAGTCTTTTCGAAATGGCTTTTCCTTTATCTACAAATTAAGTTGAAGTCTGTTCTTCTCTGCTCACAGATCTTTGGAGGAGCAACGCATGTCAATGTAAGTCATGTGATTCATGATTTATCATTTGGGCCAAAATATCCAGGACTTCACAATCCGCTTGATGGTACGGTGCGGATTTTGCACGACACAAGTGGAACATTCAAGTATTACATAAAGGTTTCTACTCCTAAATGCTCTCCTCTATAAACTATGGCATTAGTTTAGAACTGCTTCCGGTCCTGTAAAATAGCAGCACATCTCTATTCATTCAAGTGCCGTCTTCACCGTGTTGCAGATTGTCCCAACTGAGTACAGATATATCTCAAAGGAAGTTCTGCCGACAAATCAGTTTTCCGTCTCCGAATACTTTTCCCCTATGAAGGCGTTTGATAGGACTTGGCCTGGTAGTTGGATGTGTGGCTTTGTAAACATCACTACTTGTTTTGCACCTTCTGCTAGTAGTTGCTAATTACTTTTATCATTCTGTTCAGCCGTTTACTTTTTGTATGATCTGTCACCAATCACCGTGACAATAAAAGAAGAGCGCCGAAGCTTTCTCCATTTCATCACTCGACTTTGTGCAGTATTGGGAGGGGCATTCGCTTTAACAGGTTTGCGACCTACAGCCACTATTAAATGATCTAAATTTACTTATTATAAGTACTTTGAAAGGTTTTGAGTTTCAAGCAGAAGCAAATTTCCGATTCACACCTTTACTGGTTAGAATTTTCTTGCCATTTTGCATTCACTTTCGGACGATAAACCGACTCTTTTATGCGCCAACCAAAACAGGAATGCTAGATCGTTGGATGTATAGGCTTCTCGAAGAAGTGACTAAAGCAAGCGGAGGCCGTGCTTCTCAGTAGAAGAGTTGGGTTTCGGTTTGGTTCGGAGTGCAAGAACAGCATCAACTTGCATCAAATGTGGACTTGAATTCTCAATTTATAAAGAAAGAAAAAACAGTTGCAACTCTATGGCTGTTGCTATGGTTTTTTCCTTAATTATTATATGCTGTGGTGGGTCGATACTTTGAGCATTAATATTTCCCAAGTTGTATAATTTTTTGTAATGCTATTACTTTTCTCTTTATTAAAGAAGAAAAATCGAATGGCTTGAACAACTTAATTCTATTACAACATGTATGCAGTTGCAGCTTACATATGATAGTGCCTTAAGGCTGCATTATATGTGACTAGATCTAAGGTAGATAGACCGATCCGTTTGATTATCACTCACTCACTCGCCCAACGACTACTAATGATCCTCCAAGTACTAGTCGTAGTCCTACAAGTTTGAGCAATCTAAAAAGACAAAAACTAAAGAGTGAGCTATAGAGTCCAATGTGTCCTCTAAAATATAATAAATGTAGCATAATAAACAATACAATACAATTAAGATGCAACAACAATTCTGATGTATTAATTCAGAATACAATGTTAATCCGTACAACATTCCATCCGAAGAGTCACTCATGCATAATTAGAATGGGGAACATAGTCTCATACAAAATCAGGACGGGAAACGAAGTCTCATGCAGAAATAGGACGGAGAATGAGGTCCTATGCAGAATTAAGAATGCATCAATGACCAGATCATGAATGATGACATGTTGTACAGAAATTAAAAATTTGTCACAAAAAAATAGAACCAAATTGCGAACATGCATCAAGACAATAACAAATGACATAAAGGCACAATACATCAAAAGGGTATCGAACAGGCCTGAAAAACACACCTATAGAAAATAACCATAGTTACAGAAATCGCTCAACAGCCCACGATTACGTACCGTACGATGCGATCCAAAACGTGATACGAAAGTGTTTCAGTCGTTTCAATACGAGCTTTGGGTTCGTCGAGTGTTAAAGAGGAGCTTGAGGGAGAGGAAATGGGGGAACGACGGGGGTCGATTTAAGGCTGAAGAAGATAATGAATTAGGCGAAACTAACCTTGGCGTACGGTGGCGGCTGTCGATGACGCGGCGGAAAACCCTCCGGAATCTGGGCGCCGGTTGTATATCCCTCTCTCTCTCTCTCTCTCTCTCAAAATTGAGAAATGAAACAAAATGAAAATAAGCCCGTTTTAGCTTATATGCTTCATCGGTCGGCGGTTGGAAGTCTCGGTGAGGGTTGAAGAAGAAGATGGGAGGATGAAGAGGGAGACTTGGAGAGAGGCGACTGAGTTTGGGTATTTTAAATTAGGTTTTAACCTTTAGTTAGGTTTTATCTTAAAATTTTTCGGTCAAATTAAGATTTAGTCATAGTATTCTTAGGGATAAATTAGGTTTAGGCCCTCGTAATTTAGTGAATTTTTATAAAACGGTCCCTAATTCGTCCCAATTTTCTTATTTTGTTTCAAATGTTTATGTATCATTTATGTTATTTTACATATTATTTTAGCTTAAACCAAAATTGATAAATTATATATAGGACCCTGTAACTTATGCTCATTTTGTACTTAGGTCACTGAATTATTTCTAATTTTACATGTTTAATTTTATATTTGTTTCTGATTAAGGGTAAATATCTGTTTAAATCCCTGTTTTTTATGTATTATTTCAGTTATTAAGGAAGTTTAAATTTCTTTTATTTTATTCATACTATTTATAGTTACTTAAAAAATTTGATGTAGAAAAATAACAACCTATAAAATTGATACATCGTACCAATTTATATGGTACATCGTACCAGAACGATCCGAAATAAGTCTACCCCTCGTATCAAATTTTAAAGACCTAACGAATTGTAATCCCGTTTCACGTTCCCGTACCAGAGCATACCGCGATCCATGTGACTGAAAATAACTGATATCAGTTAAGTCTTATACTTCCCACGATCATAAGTACTAGGTCCAACGAAACGAGAACCTAAAATAATAACATTATGTAATAGAGATTCCAAATAACAAAAAAGAAACACATTCTAAAGTCAGGTCGGATGACCGGTTCAGCCGGTTCGATCCAAAGGTTATCGGTTCAGCCGATTTGATCCAAGGGTGACTGGTTCAGTCGGTTTAAAACCGTCAAAACATTCCCACACGCGCACTGTAACGTGTGCCGTTCGGCGGTGATTTTCGTACCAAAATTTCCAGAAAATTAATTCAAAGGGAACGATTTACGAAAACAACATCGAAAAATGGGTTTTTTTTAACGAAACCCAAAATTATTTCCTCCCAGATAATGCCAACGCCGGTTGCAAATGGAAAACACTGACCACTAGACGAACGGGCACAACACGACAAACAACGGGGCACCGGAGGTGTAACCCAAAGCCAACGGAATCGATGAACAAAATGAATTAAAGCCAAAAGCGATGCTTATGTTTTTGCTTCGAAACAGAGAGAGAAAGAGACTAAGATCGGGTTGTTCAGGAGGAAAAGTAGAGAAAATGGGAAGGGAGTTAGGTTTTAAACCCACCTATGGGCATATTATGCCTTAAGCCCCCTAACTGACAAGAAATAACAAATAACTGAAATATTTTGAAAGATTTCAATTAGGCCTAAAAAAAGATGTTACAAACTCGGTACATATAGTATAGTTCAAGGGAAAATATCTAAAAAATTGTTATGATATGCATGAATTAAATTATTTTAATGGTTTAAAGATTGTTGCTATTTTTTTAGATCTTAATTTACAGTGTATTTTAAACCAAACTTGGGATGAAAATATCTATCAGGTCCCTCTATTATAGGGGATATATCAATTTAATCATATTATTAAATAGGTCAAATAAATCCCTTTGATGTAATCTTCTACCCTTAAACAAATCAATTTAGTCAACATATTAGTTAAAAGAATCAAATAAGATAAAATATGTTACAAAATTTATAATTTATTGTTTAGGAAATATCAATAATTATTTAACATAATTAATATTTTTATAGTTTTTATGATTCTACAAATGATACTTTTTTATATGTGGTAGAACTATAAATAAAAAAATATTATTTTAATGATATTTTAAAATAATAAAAGTTAAATATGTAAAAACTTGATCTTATTTGATTCTTTTATTAATACGTTAATTAAGTTGATCTATTTAATAGTAGAAGGGTTAATTTGAACTAGCCTCGATAATTATGGGACTAAATTATCCATTTAATAGTAGAGGAACTAAATTAATACATTCCCTATAATAGAGAGATCCAGTAGGTATTTTCTCTTAAAACTGGGAGAGACAAAAATTTTGGAATATACCCATGAAGGTCCGCAACTGAGTGGAAAGTTCTCTGCTGGTTTGCCTGCTGGTAGCCAAACTGAGTGTGCAATCGTCGATGATGGAGAAAGGAAAAGAGCCCATTGCAACCGACGAGGAAGCGGAAGTTGGTGAGATCGAGGAGACTGACGAACCTTTAGAAATCGTTCTGTTTCAAGTTTCTGAATGCTATGTTTATTTGGTCAGTTTCCCCTTTCCCTCTCTTTACTCTCTACTCTGTATGTATTATACGAATCTCGATCTGCTGCATGTCGAATCAGAATCTCTACTGTTTTTGTTGTTGAGGTTTTCCTTGGATCACACAAAATTCATTCAATTTTAGCTGATTTGTATCTAGTTTGGTAGTCGATCAAGATTGGGATTCAATATATATATGCTTGTTAAGAATGGTTAGATCGCCAGTTATATCCTTTTAAAATGGAATTCAATTACCTAACGAGTTACGTAAGGGCTTCTATGTTGTTGAATATTCTATACTCAATTTTGATGTAAATTCAGATGGATATTTTAGGTTTGGAACATAGTTTTTATATAAAGTAATATGCTGATTCAACGGTTGCATCTTCAAATCCATAATGTCTGTTAAATGGCTTATAATTGTGCCAGAAATCAGAAACCAGTGAAATAGTCGTATTTACAATAATTTCTGAAGTTGTTTGCCTTGAGCAGAAAGCTTTGATAGTAACCAAATGGATTTTATAAACCTTTTCTTTCGAGTTTGGTATGGTAGGGATCCAACTAATTCTTCTGCAGTCTTCTCATTTTCTTAATCAATTTGTGTAATAGGTATTCATCTTTTTTGGTTATTATTTTTTATGATTTAAACAAAACTGTCTGAAGCTGATAAATTTACCTTGCTTGAGTTTATGATGCCGAGTTTAAATCCTATACCAAACTGATAATGTCATGAGCTCTGATTGGGTGTTTGACATGATAAGGTGAGTTTATTCCCTGGTTGAAAAGGCTGAGAATGGCGCGAATCCCTCTTCCTGAAATGGCACCTTGGTAGAATATAAAGAGAGATTTTGAACTTGATTCTAGGTTAAAAAGGATAAGTCCTAGCATTAGGAGTTAACAAACCCTCCAATTTAGGGATCTAATTTCAGTTTACCACCCTTGAGAGATTGGACTACACTTCACCACTCAAACCTAGAAGAACCGACTAGATATATATATAGAGTTAAAGGAAGATAGTTTCATCTCAAAACAATTTTTAATCCATAATTCTCCAGGTTTGGTTAATTGTTGAAATAAAAGTATTGTAACAACAATCAGTGCAAGTCTGAACAAACTGTTAAGTACAACTTATTCTGGGAATAGAGAATGTGAACAATGCATAGGAAACTGATATATGCCAGCCATGTAGGAATACCTTTAGGTCAAACAGCCTAAATTCACTCTAGGAAGACCCAATTCCTGAACAACTTCAATCATCAAAACTCGACTTAACTAGCATTCCTACCACATATGGTCTGTGCCTTTTGACCTTCAGATTAACATCTTTTCTCCGTGTTCAATGCAACCAGCCTTGATACTTCTAAATAAACCTAGGTTGAAGTATAAGAATTACTTCACCTTTCCCCTTTCCCTCAAAATTTCAAATCAGAATACGGCTGCAAATGCTGATCACCTAGGTGTCCCACTTTAGTGAAATCCAATCTTGTGTATTTTCTCACTTTTGTTCTCTTTCTTGTTGTGCCTGCCATGCTATCTAGCTAATTCGGCGCATTACTTCTGCAGATACCTCCAAGGAAAACTGCAGGATCCTACAGGTAGTTGTCCAACTTAATAAATGATACCCAGTATGCAAGAATAATAACAGTAATAATAAATAACTAAATAAAAACTCATCGGGCATATCCTTTTTATCAGGTTTTACTGTGGGCTCTTCGCAATGATGATGTTGAAAACCTTACCTATCATTCTTTTTTTATTTGTGTGGCCACAATTCTCTGTTATGTTTGTCATCAGGTTAGGGGAACCTTTGTTCATTTCTTTGGTGTTAATTTGCATGAAAACAGTTGAATTACTGAAGGGAACAATTCATTATGCAATAAACAGACAGTGAAATATTTTATGCATAACGTTTTCCCAAAAGTTTGAAACTATTTTTCTCCGTGAAAATAATTGTTTTTAATAGCTAAGAATTTATTGGATAATAGAAAAGACTTTCACTGCCCAAACCCGATGAATATATTTCTCCTTACATTGGGGAGTGTGTATAAGATCTGATCAAGAACAGCACTATGGCATATGAAATAGTAATACTTCAACAATTAGGTTATGTGCCGAGTTTATTGTGGCATGATCTTACTGATAGATTAGTTACCAATGGTTAAAATGGTTTCTCTTTTTTCTTGCTGGAGGAGATATGCATACTCGTTCTTCTGAAATTTATTTCAGCGCTGATGAATGGAATGTCAATAAATGGGCATGGGAGGGAATTTTGAAAGTCATTAGCAAGGGAGAAGAGTGCATTATCAGGCTTGAAGACAAGAATACAGGTAAACTTAGTTTTGTGCTTTGTAGGGTAATTTGTATTTGTGCTTATCTTTATTCATTAGATGGTTGATTGTTGCTAGAACTCACTCTTCTTCATAGGTGAATTGTACGCGCGAGCATTTCTGAGAAATGGAGAGCCTCATCCAGTGGAATCTGTTATTGATAGCAGTAGGTGTGTACAAATAAGTAATCCTAAGAATTAGATGTGTTTGCAGTGCTATATTGCTTTTAATTTTGATGCAACCCATTATTTCAAGTGTTTGTGTTCTGCAGATATTTTGTTCTTCGAATTGAGGAGAATATTGGTGAGTAATTTTTGCTCTCTTTCAAATTCATTTAAATTTTTCCCTTTTCTTTTCAACGTATTTTTGTTGTTTTATGGCATCAGATATGAATTCTTGTCACTCTTACTTTCTTTTTGTGAGCATATTTCTCATGAGGATTATCATGTAGACTGTAGTTATTTGCGTTGTTTGTGACAAGCTACTGGACGTGCATATATTCCTTGATTATGTTCATAGTCCATAGATTTAACACTTCATTTTCATTCATTTGTATGGTCATGTGCGCAGCACACTAAAATTTCCGGCAATTGGAAAACATCTTCGACCATGGAGAAAGTGTGATGAGTAATATTTCGTGTTCCGGTAAGATGTGGTGAAGATTTGAAATCACTTGCTTCAACCTACGTAAGAAGGATCAAATCACAAAGTCCCGCGTTAAAACATTAGGGTAAACTATATCTTTAGTACCTAAGTTATTAAAGTTATCAAAACTGAACACACCGACGATTTCGAGCATCAAAACATGAAGGAGAGAAACTTGAAGAAGAATCAAAATGGCCAACGGAGAAAGTGATCTCCCCTTAACAGCAATTCCATCCGGCACACATATGCGATAACTAATGAATCGTTTTGTACAAACGAATAGAGGAACCGAGCATCGGGAAAGTAACCAACCATGTATTCAATGAAAAACAAAAGACCAATAAGAAGACTAATAAAAAAAATCTGCACCGAGAGTCTAAAACACCAGTAACTGTAATATACTTTATTAGAAAAAAAAGGTCAAAAAATCTATTATTGATAATACGATAAAAAAGAAATAAAAATGACAGGGTGATGGCCGGAGAAGACCATCACCACTTCTATGAAACAAAGAAATTTTAAAAACTATCCATAAAAAAAAGAGTTTATCGGACTATTAAGTTTTAAGAGAATAAGATGTGGCTGCAATCCTCCTTGGAAGAGAGCATTTCTATTGAGAATAAGATGTTGCGGAGTAACCGTTGCGGCCAAAAATTCTATAGCGGAAAACAAAAAACTCGTGAGCTAAATGAGAAACAAGGAAGAAACGTAAAGGGGCGTCTGTGTTTTCTAACACTAAACCAAGAAATGATGAGTGATTGGCAAAAAAGTTTACCTTCTTTGCCAGACTTAGCAAATCTTACAGCATCCATGGTAGTGATATGCTCCATCACAATCTTTAGTCTAGGAAGCCTTTGAATTAAAGGTTGCAAAATAGTGTCAATGAACACTTATCAAAAATGTCAACATTAGAATCTGTGACCTCTCCATGAACCTGTAAATTGATCGGATTGATATTATACAAGTTGAAAGCAATGTCTTGAAATATTGACAATGTTATGTTGGCTGCACTTGCCTGTCATATGTTATCTAAGAAATCACATCACATTGCCAGTGTACAAGAACCTTGTAGACTTTTAGTTAAGCAACAAATAATAGTGAACCTAGTATGGTTGAAATTAATACCAGCAATAGCATGTTTGCCTCAACCATCTCTTCAAGAACTGGTAGGCATTTCTCAAACAGATCTGTAACACCGCTTTGAGAATTTGTGGTTGGGTACAACTTAACAGCAAAGACAACTCCACTCTTTCCTGTCAACACATTAGAACCAATCATAAGAATAACTGCAAGACTCGAGTCAGAACAAATGGGGCCAAATAACAAATAGGAGCTACTTGTTTTAAGTGCAGTTCCTCTACAATTCTAAATGAAAGGACTAAATTAAAAGTGGCTGTGAATGCAAGAGCCCGGAACAAAAACGAAAGAGACAGGAGTTTGGTGGAGGTTTTCCATGTGAAACAAAAAAGAGATGAATCCTCTTATTGTTAAAATGAAGTCTGGGCAGAATTATATTTTATTCCTCATACTTTCAATTACAACAAATAGGTCCTTTATATAAACAAATTCCTGTAACTAACTCAATAACTAACATCTAACAAACTAACAGAATGTGTAACAATATTTAAAAACAGTTAACACTTTTCTGCACCCCCCTCAAGTTGGTGGTTGTAAAGAGGTCTTTAATCCCCAACTTGGAAACAAGATATTCATGTTGATGTACACCCAAGGCTTTAGTCATCAAATCTGCTTGTTGTTCTCCTGTCTTAATGTGTTCTGTTCATATCAAGCCTTCTTGAATCTTCTCTCTGACAAAATGACAATCTATCTCAATGTGTTTGGTTCTCTCATGGAAAACTGGATTTGCTGCTATTTGCAAGGCTGCTTTATTATCACACTTTAGCTTAGCATGTGCTATGTTTTTCAACCCCAATTCTCCCAACAAACCCTTCAGCCAAACTATTTCTGCAGCCGTCCCTGCCATGCTTCTATATTCAGCTTCTGCAGAGGAGCGTGCAACAGTGTTTTGCTTCTTGGATTTCCAAGAAATTGGAGACATTCCAAGCTTAATGCAAAAACCAGTTATAGATCTTCTAGTCATAGGGCAGGTAGCCCAGTCAGAGTCACAATAGGCAATCAATCTGCACTCACTCGTAGCACTTAATAAAATCCTCTGCCCTGGATTTTTCTTGATGTATTTTACCACTCTCAATGCAGCTTCAAGATGCGAGTGTTTTGGTTTATGCATAAACTGACTGAGGAAATGAACAGCATAGACAATGTCTGGCCGTGTGTGAGTCAGATATATTAGTCTACCTATAAGTCTCTGAAAAACAGTTTTGTCTTGCAACAGTTGTTCATTACTACAAACTGTTTCATCATACTCAACTGTGGTTAACTTTTTGTTCTGCTCTAGAGGAGTCAAGGCCGGTTTAGCTCCCCCTACTCCAGTTTCTTCAATCAGCTCTAAAGCATACTTCCTTTGATTCAACACTATCCATGCTTTTGACCTTAAAACTTCTAATCCTATAAAGTATTTCAACTCTCCAAGATCTTTCATTTTGAAGTTCTTATTCAAAATATGCTTTAGTTCTGCTATCAATACTTCATTACTACCAGTAATTAAAAGATCATCAACATACACCAATAAAACAACTATATCACTACCTTGTTGTTTTGTGAACATTGAGTAGTCATATTTGCTCTGCATGTAACCAGCCATAAGCAAAGCTTCTGTTAGCTTCAAATTCCATTGTCTAGAGGCTTGTTTGAGTCCATAAAGAGATTTATGCAGCCTACACACCTTAGACTCCCCTGGCTGCAAACACCATCAGGTAGTGTCATATAGACTTCCTCAACCAGGTCACCTTGCAAGAACGCATTGTATACATCCATTTGGTAAAGAGGCCAAGAAAAAATTGATGCAACAACAAGGATAGTTCGAACAGTGACCAGTTTAGCAACTGGGGAGAAGGTATCCACAAAGTCAACTCCTTCTTTTTGATTGAACCCTTTAGCAACAAGGCGAGCTTTGAAACGTTCAACATCACCATTAGCCTTGTACTTGATTCGGTAAACCCATTTGCACCCTATTGGAATTTTCCCTGAAGGCAGGGTGACTATAGACCAAGTGTTGTTTGATTCCAAAGCATCAATCTCTTCCTTCATGGCTTGGATCCAAAGAGGGTTAGTAATGGCTTCATAATATGTTTTTGGTTCACTTAAATGAGAGGTGGAAGATAAGAAAACCTGAGTTTTAGAGGGTAAGTGAGAATAAGAAATGAAATTGGAAATAGGATACTTACTTGGAAGAGATGAAGATTGGTAGGAATGAACATAGTCATGTAGCCAATTAGGAGGTTTGCCAACCCTAGTGGACTTTCTTTGAGGTGGACACTGATTTTCAGGTGGAGCAATGAAACGAGAACTTGGGCTTGATGGGTGAATTGGTGAACCAGTTGAAACTTGAGGTGATGCAGAAGAAGAAGAAGAAGACAGATTAGGTAAGACAGAATTTACAGGAGTAGATGAGGCAGAAATTTCAAGGGTAAGAAAATCAGAATCAACAATGGGAGGTTGAGGAGGGAAAAATTGAGAAGGCTTGTTTAATGGGAATGAGAAGGGAAATATAGTTTCATGAAAGACCACATCACGATTGACAAAAAAAGATCTTGAATGAAGATAAAAAAGGAGATAGCCCTTTTGGGTTGATGAATAACCCATAAAAACAGAAGGAGAAGCCTTTGGAGAAAATTTGTCTTTATAGTTAACTTTGGTTGCATAACAGAGACAACCAAACACTCTCATATGAGAAAGATTCGATGACTTGTGATAAAAGATTTCAAACGGACTTTTCCAGTTTAGAATGGCAGTAGGAAGCCTATTAATGATATAACAGGCAGTAAGAACACACTCACCCCAAAATTTAATGGGCACATAAGAATGAAAACGAAGAGCACGGGCTACCTCTAAAAAATGTTTGTGTTTGCGTTCAGCAACCCCATTTTGTTGGGGTGTATGAACACAAGAGCTTTGGTGAATAATGCCAAGTGAAGAGAAAAGCTCAGAACAATGATCACTAAAAAACTCACCACCATTATCACTACGAATATACTTAACTGAAGTAGAATGGTGATTTTGAACAAGCGCAAAGAATTGTTTAAGAAATAAAAAAGCATCACTCTTAAGTTTCAACAGGTAAACCCAAGATAGCCTAGTATGATCATCTACAATAGTTAAAAAGGATCTATGACCAATATGTGTTGAAATTCTATAGGGGCCCCACAAGTCAACATGAATCAAATCAAAGGGCTAATAGGAAAAGGCAATCTTGACTGTTTTGCAAGAGGACACACAGAACATTGTTTAACAGTGTTTTCATTCAAAGAAAGAGAACTCAAAAAAGGAGTCTTATGCATTTTGACAGAAGTGGCATGCCCTAAACGTGCATGCCAAAGCATTGTATTATTAGAAGAAGAAACAGTCATACAACTAGAATCAACCTTGCATTTTGATGGTGACAAATCAAAACTAAAATGTGTGGATGACAAACCAGAAACAAGGTCCTTGGAATTAAACATCTAGAGACCATGAGCCTGCCTACCAATCCCCCTCATCTTCCCAGTGAAGAGATCCTGCAAAACACAAAAACGAGGGTAAAAAATGATACTGCAATTGAGGTCTTTGGTTAATTTTGACA